CTTTAGACGAGTCACACCTCCACCCTTTACCTTTTTGAAACAATAAAAGCACTTAAAGCCAGCACCATGAGGGTGGGGAAAAGGCTCTCCATGGCTCCAAATGACATCAGTTGGTTCGTTTAACTTCACTCGTCTCCCTACAACACCACATGTAGTGTTAACACATTATATTGAGTAGCATAACAGAAAAAAATCAATTATGTGCTACTGTCATGTAGCACCAAATGCAGTGTTCATTTTTAGATATCATAGATATAATTTGTAGGCATCAAGTTCATTCAAAATCATTACAATCAGCTTGCAGGTCATGCAACACCACATGCAGTGTCTGTTTAACACATTTTCTTAAACTACATAACAAAAAAAATCATTTATGTGCTATTGTTGCAACAAAAGGAGTTCAGCTATTGGCATTGGCAAAACCTCTATAGTTCATTTTAGATATCATAGATAAATTTTGTTGCCATCAAATTCATTCAAAACTATCATTCAAATAGCTTGGTGGTCATCAACATGTGCACAACAATTGAGAAAGTTAAACATTTACTATGAATCTCCCATAGTCATACAACAATGTGTTGAATTACCATTTTTTGCAACCACCTCAACCGCAGCACTAGTGTCTATCATCGGCACTCTACCAGCAACACCGCTCGACGAAGCATCACCCTCGCCTCGAGTAGCAGGTTGACAAGCTGGAGGGCGTGAACGTGCATCATCATCCCTGCCCCAATCACCATCACAGAAGAGACGCACATGTCCTGGCAGTACACACACAAAGCTTGAAATGAACACGTCAAACAGTAGACTCTCAAAATCAAATGAAAATAGAGCTATTGTACCTATGGAAACCGAACAGTGAGGTCGTGAGGATGGAGGGCAACATTGGGGAGGGAGACGAGTGGCACCAATGCAGCAACGTTGGGGAGGGAGACGAGCAGCAAACAAGAACGAGCAGCGTTCAAGCACCAGTGCAGCTCCTGCACGACCAAGCAGCCTTGGTGAGGGAGACGAGTGGCAAGCGGCGGCGACGGCGGCGGCGGCCACGGCGACGAGTCTGGTGGACGAATGGATAAGCTTTAGGGTTAGAGAAGGACTGAGGAATATATATATGGAGGTGGGTATTTGGGCCGGCCATCCAGCGGGCTTTTTTCGCGGGCCCAAATTCAAAATGGCCAAAAAATTTGAGCGGTAACTGAAATTACCGGGCCCAGGCGAGAAACGGGATTATCGGAAATCTCGTTTTTTCTCGCCGAGATTTTTTTCCCTGCTCTCTCGCACACTGCTCTCCTCGTGTACGCCGCGCTCTCTCTCTCTCGCGCACGCGACCCCGGGGGCGACGCTTCTCCCTCCACTCCGGCTGGCCCTCCACCCCCACCTCCAGCCGGCCCTCCACATCCGGCCGGCCCCAAACACCTCCAGCGCGGCGGCGGCCTCAACCTCCGGCCAGCCCTCCACATCCAGCCAGCCCCAAACACCTCCAGCGTGGCGGCGTCCTCAATCTCCGCCGGCCCCATCCGCCTCCAGCGCGGCGGCGCCCTCAACCTCCGGCGGTGCCCTCCACCTCCACTCGCCGACGGCACTCAGCCCCTGCGGCGGCTTGCGAGGATGCGGCGAGCGGGGGCCCGGCCCCGGCGGTGGTGGCTCAGCCCCAGCGGTGGCTCGCGAGGGTGCAGCGAGTGGAGTTCCGGCCCAGGCGGCGGCTCGGCCCCAGCGGTGGCTTGCGACGGCGTGGCGAGCGGGGGCCCGGCCCCGGCGGCGGCTCGGCCCCAGCGGTGGCTTGCGACGGCGTGGCGAGCGGGGGCCCGGCCCCGGCGGCGGCTCGTGAGGGCGTGACCCCAGCGGCTCTTCTCGGCGCCAGCAAATCAGGCGAGCGGCGGCCGTGGGGCGTCGCCGGGCTCGGTGGGCCTCATGGATGGGCTCGCTGTGCTCGTCGAGTTTTTTTTATTTTTTTAAATCCATTAACCGAGGCGTGCAGGTTAAGGAAACTGTCTCGGTTAATACATATTAACCGAGACGGTTGGATTATAATGACCGCCTCGCCACGATTAACCGTGACCTTTCGTCCGAGGCGGTTGGCTTGCCCGCCTCAGTTAAGGCTTTTTGCCCGCCACGGTTAAGATTCCTCAGTAGCGAGGACGGCGGTCGGTCGGGCGCGGTGGAGAGCGCCGTGGCGGCGTGGTCGCGCTGGAGCGTGCGCGGCTGTGTGGACACGACAGTGGTGCGGTGAATGGAGAGGAACGACAACGGGCTCACGAGTAGATAAGATTGGGTGAGCTGATACGCAAGTGGAGAGGAGTTAGGCCATTGGGCTAGTGTCGTGGCCGGAGCGTCCAGATGGACCGGACATCCTTAGCACAGCATTACCGACGCTGTAAAGCCACAATGAACAGCAAGTTTGGGGCGATCGCGTCTCGGAGAAACATATTCCTGAGTCCTGGTCCTTTATCTTTGTTCACATATACATAAGCTGAGGTGTTCCAAGTTTCCTTTCCTGCCTTCTACTCTGGACTCGTCAAATGTGGGTTGGTGCCTAGCTCGCCATTGTTGTAATCTGCTAAAGCTTGTGGCTTTGGTGAGCTGGAATCGATAGCTTAACGTGATCCGTAAGGCATGGTGATAGGTGCAGCAGTATCCTTTTCTCTCAAATTGACACATATGACATCTGCGATGACAAATGAGCAGAGATAACGAAAACTTTAGGGTTAATCTTTGTATTATGCCATCTGCTTATATAGAAGTTTTCACGTTACCCTTAATCAGCAAACCCAATCATATGCATTTGGGGCAATTTGATTTGTTAACATCTACTCCATCGCCATCAGGTACATACTACTGAATCTATTTTACAACCAAATCATGATTTTTGTTGATAAACATGCATGTCCACATCAACTTGTGGCAGTCTTGGAGCAGATTTCGTGCAAATCTGAAGCGCCGCCACTTGGCAGTGCTCCAGCTTAAGAAATCAAAATCAAAGCTAAAAATTCAAAAGAAGAAGAAAGGCACCAAAATAGCCATTGCGCCAGAGGTAAGTGATTGACAAGTTCAGATGATATAGTAAACATAAAATTCGACCAACCTAGAAGGAACTAGGTGAGTTTTAAATTTTAATTAAGAAGAATTAGACATTCAAATTTGTTTCTAAGAGGACTTGAAATTGGATGGTCTGGACATACGACCACACCCACACACGACTAACTGAGTTGGGACCATCTGCTTCAGTTCAAAAATACCTCATTATTAACAGTTGGATTTGAATTCTTTGTGGAAATTCCTACACAAATCTTATGTTCAAAACACGGTGAAATCATATTGTGGACACTAGACAATTTGCTATGAAATAGTTATGGAGGGAGTAGTAGTGCTTGTTCAACTCAGACAAAAAGTAATATAAACAGACGAACACCGTAAGCAACATTCATTCTCCATAAGACCAGAAGTGAGATATGCTGATGCAATAGATATCCTCTGAACCCTGACCGTTTAATGCCTGAAAAGTAGGTCATGTTATGCAACCACACACCGACACACGGCAGCTGATCTGATTCGTGCGATATATTTGGCTCTGTTGCTACAAGGACACTTCACACCACTAATATTAGGCCACAACATCATTTCATATTTGCTGGTGCTCACTGAGATTGATGCTTACAGGTAGTGGAGACTGGGGCACAGATGAGACACTGAAAAGAACATCCGAAAACAAAAATGAAATTTAGAATATAAGGAAGTGATAAATGATTCATGGTTCATTTTGCTTTGATTATATATTTGAAGGAGCTATCACTCATTTGGTGACATGTCACCATGATAAATCTTAACCTTCGATTGTGCTTGATGTATGATTTAATCAGGACTCAGGAGCCTACCTAGCTAGTACCCTAAGAACTACAAGTGGTGCAAAATCCTGCACCATGGTGCAGACATATGAACTACCTATCAACCCCTCTATATGACATTTTATTTTATTTTATTTTTATGTCATTAGAAATGCCAAAGTTGTAATATTTAGTTCTGTACAATGTTCCACGCGTTTCTGAAAAAAAGAAGAAAATTCATATCAGTTGTTGTCATGTGATTTGACTGTCTTTGCTACAAGCCTACAATAGAATTGCCACCACAAAGTAACCATACAACAGGTCAACAGCGTGACAGTTCGGATCACGCAAATTCATAAGCCGATCACGCAAATTAACTGATGCTGCGGATCATTTCCGCACATTGAATCCCAATCGCATTCCTTCACCTGTTTTCGCTGTTGATAGCTAGCTATGTCATTTTGGTGCCGAGTCCCTTCCTTGCCCCCTTTAATTAATAAGCAAAAATGACAGCTTCTTTTGAAGCCTAAACGATCTCAAAGTCTAAAGCCAAATGATTTGGTATCTTAAGGGACACTTACCTTTTCATTTCCATTTGTTGCAACTTGCAAGAGCTTCATTTTAGGAATTGAAAACTTGTTCCAGCCTTTGCATAGTTTGCACACAGCCTGACCACTTGCAAGAGCCATTGCACTGTCAAAGGCCTACTTATCCACACCGACACGCATCCCTATCTCACAGTGACATTTGAGGGCATCTTCCAAGGTATCTCCTAGGGAGCAATCTGCGTGACCATCGCTTGAAATTGGTGTGGAGCATGATGATTGCGATATGATCGAGATTATCGCTACGATAACGGAGAAAAAGAAAATATGAAATGAAACAATGATGCACGATCAATCTCCAAATTCTATTTTTGAAATTCTAAAAAAATCTATTTTTGAAATAAAATAGTTCACTGTCAATGGATGCTGAAACAATCTGACAAGGAGCAAGAGGTTAGGTAGCGCTGTAACGGTAAGCCGCATGTTCTAGCCAGCCTTCTTTATATACCACACTGGAACGGGTGCAAGTGCAAGAACAAGCTACTCCTCCCTTAGGCCTTTAGCTTGGCTACTTGCCATCTTCTTCTTTTCAATATAGTGTTCGTTTCTGTGGGGAGAAGAAGAGGCGGCGACAATGGATGAGCCTTCACAGAGCGAGGACCGGAAGCTGTCGGCCATGGAGCATGTCAAAAAGCGCCACGAGGAGAAGGGCTTCCTCTATGCCTGGTCAGTAAGATCACCACAATCTAGACGACGTACTCGATAAGGGTTGTTGTTCTGCATCTGCAGAATCTGCACAATCTTATGTTTTCCGCAAGCATCAACACAAATTTACACATTCATTTGTAAGATGCATCATGCTGAATAGATTTTTTTTCCCTTGCTTGCAGCGCCTTCATGTTTTGCTGCTGCTTCTGCTGCTACGAGGCCTGCGAGCACTGCCTGGAGTGCTTCTGCTGCTGCGGCAAGAAGGACGAGTAAGGTCGGTTCAACCAATTCTGCCACACCGATCCATGATCGACTTATTGTGGATTTGTTTCGGTTGTGAAGAATTGCGATCGATCTGGAACTGTTCGTCGAAATAAAACATGCTGTAAATAAATGTGGTTGGTTGAAGCGTTAACTCTACGTTAACCGTAGTGAGTATCTGTGACAGTGAGTGAGTTCAATGTAACGCTGTACTTGTGACTGTAAATCTGTGATTGCATGCCAGCGCACTGGTACTATATGTACGTTACAGTCCTTTGTGTGTATATATATATATATATAGGTTTCTTGTGTTATTGCTCTGCCTTGTACTTTCATGAACTTACAGGCCTGTAGCCTGTAGGTGCTTCTGCGTCTGCAACACTAGGCATGCAGAATCACAGGACTTCATTTTTTTTTTTTTTTGAAAATTCTAACCACAGAACTTCATCATTCAGTAGATGCATATTTTGGTTCTTTGGTGTGTTGTGGTATGTTGCTTTTGCTTATGAAGTTATATGGTGCACTCTCTCGCTGTCTTCTTGCTTCATCAATATTCACGCACTTTTTTTTTCTTAAAAACAATTTTACAAATCATCTTGTTAAAAAAACAAAACAAATTTATTTTTACGTCCTCCGAGGGAGAAAAGGGGAAAGATGAAAAAACTTGCCTTATGAGATAGTTTTGCCTCTTGAAACTTAGCTAAAACCGTCCACTTCCTGAAAGTACTCCCGATATCCATCAGAAGTCAGAACTGTTAGCCCACAAAATCATCGGCTCACGTAAGTCGACCACTCACCAGTCTTGCCGACCATGGCCGAGCACGAGAGACGTTGTCCGACCATACACTATGGCTAAAGGTAAAAGAAGGGAGGGAGAACAGAGCATACACACATAACAGAGACACCAGCGTTGGCCGGAGCTTTGTTATAGGAGATGGCAAATCTGAACTCTGTTTTCTGAGTTGTAGTGGCAAACTATATATACAACTCTATCCATCTAGTCCTAGTACAACTATCGTGCTGTTATAGTTACTAGATGTGACAACAGAGCTGACTTTGGCGCCTGCCCCTGCTGTGACTACAATGTGGCAGGTGAGCCATTCGGCGCCTGCCCCTGTAGCTGCTATACTGCAACAGCAGGGAGCCCTTTACAGCGCCACCTTCACCTGCTGTGCATTCACACAAGAGATGCAGAAGATTATCTAACCATTCTTCCTATAATCCTTCTGCTACCTTTGAACCCCCTCCATGCCGATCATCTTCTTCAACCCCGTGAGTCGAAGACGGTCAAGCGGCTTGGTGAGAACGTCCGCGAGTTGCCGACCAGTTTCGACGAACTCGATGACGATCTGCTCTCCATCGACACAGCCCCTGAGAAAGTGGAACTTCACGTCGATGTGTTTTCTCCGATCGTGGAGAACCGGATTCTTCATGAGGGCGATGGCGGCTGGTTGTCCACCATCAGTGCTAATGAGTGAGCTTCCGCACCGGTTAGCTCGCCCAGCAGCCGGCGCAGCCACACAACTTTGCACGTTGTTGTGGCCACTACCACGTACTCTGCCTCGCACGTAGACAATGTCACCACCTTCTGTTTCAGCGACAGCCATGAAATTGGAGCCGACCCGAGGAAGACGAGCACGCCAGAGGTGCTCCGTTGTCCGTCGATGTCCCCCGCCATGTTTGCATTGCTGAACACAGTGAGTTGCAGCCTGCTTCCGCCTGTCTTGGGGAAGACAATCCCTTGATCCACCATCCCCTTGACGTAGCGCAACAGATGCTTCACCGTAGCCCAGTGATCCTCTCGAGGATCCTCCATGAAGCGACTGACGTAGCCCACGGCGAACGCAATGTCCGGCCTCGTGTGAACTAGGTAGCACATACATGCCGCCGACGAGCTCCTCCTTCCCCCGTCGCCGTATGTAGAGCGCGTGCTCGGTTGCGCGCCTCGTGAACCCAAGCTCGCCCAGCGTGGCGTCAAGCTTGGCGTTCCATGCTCATGGGGCCTGCCACATCCCGTAGAGCGCCTTGCGCAGTTGGAGCACCCTGTGCTCCGCTCCCTTGACGGCGAAACCCGGAGGTTGCCTGACGAAGACCGTCTCCGCCAGCTCGCCTTTGAGGAAGGCTAATTTTATGTCTAGGTGATGGACGCGCCAGTCCTTTGCTGCTGCCAAGGCTAGTAGCAAACGGACAGACTCCATGCGTGCTACTGGCGCAAAGACTTCCTCGAAGTCGATGCCTTCGCACTGGACAAAACCTCGGGTGACGAGGCACGCCTTGTGTTTGATAATGGCGCCGAGCTCATCCCGCTTGACCTTGTACACCCACTTTAGGCTGATCGAACGGCATCCTGGAGGTGGATCGACGAGCTCCCAAGTCTCATTTTCCTCGATCGCCTTCATCTCCTCCAGCATCGTCGTCGCCAGTTTCCATCGCGCTCGGCCAGCGCGAACGTGGGTGGTTCCTCTGCACTGATGAGTAGCAGCTCTTGGTCATTAAGCAGTCGACCAGCCAGGCCTGAGGGCCCTGTGCCGCCGCCGATGTCGTCTAGCCTGTGGAACCGCACCTCCTCACCGTCGTGGAAGGCATCCACGAACTCAGTGATGTCACTTGGAGGTGAGGCGAGCTTGATCGGCGTCGATGGAGTTCCCTGTTCCGCAGTAGTGCTCGGCACAGCACTTGGAGTGCTTGGCACCCTAGTTGCAGTGCTCAGCACTACTCCTGGACTGCTCGTCACCACTCCTGGAGTGGTCTGTACCCCTCCCGGAGTGCTTGGCATCAGACTTATGGTCAGCACCACTGCAAGACTGCTCGGCTCCGCTATGGGAGTGCTCGGCACCCATCCTAGAGTGGTTGTAACCACTGCATGACCTCCCGACTCCACTCCTGGAGTGCTCGACACCCCTCCCGAAGTGCTCGGCATCCCTCCTGGAGTGCTCGGCACCCCTCCTAGAGTGCTTGGCACCTCTTCCCCAGTGTCTCCACCACCATGGATGACCAAATGCTTGACGACAAAGGTGATAGTGAAGCCGCCAGCTTCCCCCGTGCTCGGACTGTTCCAGTCCCAAGCCGCCTTCTCGTCGAACACGACGTTGCGCGAGACAAGTACCTTGTCTCCGCATGGGTCGTAGAGCCGGTACACCTTGGTACCCTCCACGTAGCCTAGGAACACCATTGGTGTGCTCCTATCCTCCAGCTTGCTGAGGATCGCCGAATGTCTGGAGGAAGGACATGCTCGGCTTGCGCCCATACCAAGCCTCGAACGGTGTCTTGCCCTTTAGGGCCTTGGTGGGAGCACGGTTGAGGATGAACACCGTCGTGGTCACTGCATCACCCTAGAACCTTGCCGGCATGCCTTTGGCCTTCATCATGGATCGAGCCATGCCGATCACCGTCTGGTTCCATCGCTCCACCACGCCATTCTGTTGTGGTGAGTACAGCGCGGTGTGGTGTCGTACCACACCCTGATCCGCGTAGTATGCAGCGAACTCCACCGAAGTGAATTCACCGCCGCGATTAGTCCTCAGCACGCGGAGCTTCTTGCCACTCTCGGCCTCCGCGCGCATCTTGAACTTCTTGATCACCGCTGCCGCTTCGTCCTTGCTCGTCAGGAGTCGCAGCCACATGTAGCGCCTGCAATCATCCACAAGCAGGAGGAAGTACCGCCGACCACCTTTGTGGCTGGCGTGATCGGCCCGCAGAGGTCGCCGTGGACGAGCTCGAGAGCATCCTCCGCGCGATACTTGGCCGCCTTTGGGAACGGCAGCCTCCTTTGCTTTTCGGCCAGGCAGCTATCACACAGCTCGCCTTTGTGCTCGATGTGGGGTAGCCCTCGGACCAGCTTCCCCAGCCGACCAAGTGCATCGAAGCTAAGATGTCTGAACCGGGCATGCCACAGTCCACGGTTCCTCGGTGTGCCTTACCGCTAGACACACCGGCTACTCTACCTTTAGGTCGAGTAGGTACAACCGGTTCAGAGACCTCTTCACCTTAGCGAGAAGTCGCTGCTCCCGGTCCATGATCCTGAGGACTCTGTCCTTGATCAGTACCTCGCTACCGTGCTCATCCAGCTGACCAATGCTGATGATGCTTGAACGCAGCTATAGGATGTAATATACATCCGTTAGCGCGCGGTGCTCCCTGTTCTAGCACCTGAAGATGATGGTGCCGCGTCCTCATATTGCCACCCTTGAGTCGTCACCAAACTTCATCGTACCAGAAACATCATCGTCGAGCTCGGAGAAAGCTGCCTTGGAGCCCGTCATGTGGTTGCTGGCACTAGAGTCCAGACACCACCGCTGCTCCTGCTTGCCGCCCAGACGTCTGAGGTGGACTTGGGCGCGCGGTTCATCGAGGTTGACAGCTTTTAGGGCCTTCCCAGGTCCTTTTGCCATCGTCACCACTCCCTTCTGCTCGGCCTCGACGTCGTGCAGTGCATAGAACGTCGCCGTTAGGATAGTGGCCTCATCATCATCATCAGCTTGCGCCAGATGAGCCTCAGCCTTCTTCTCCTACTTGCGATTTGGGCACTTCCGTACCCAATGGCCTGTCTTCCCGCAGCGCCGACAGGCATTGGGGTCGACCTACTTCTTCTTCTCCGAAGAAGCCTTGCCGCGGCGCTTGCCATCGCCACCGCGGCTGGAGGAGGCTACCCCGGAGTTCCGCGGCTAGAGGAGGCTACCCCGGAGTTCCTCCGAGCAGCCCACTCCTCCTCTGTCAGTAGCAGTTTGCCGCTGTCCTTCGTTGTTGTCGCCTGCTCCAGACACTCGTCCACCGCTCGTAGACGGCCTATCACATCCTCGATGGTGAGGGTGGACAAGTCCAGCATCGTCTCTATGGAGAGAGCGATCTGGATGTACTTTGCAGCACGAAGTGGAGGTACTTGGAGACCGCCTCCTCTTCGTCGATGGTGACTCCGTGGCTCTTCGGCTTACTAATGAGCGTCTGTAGGCGGAGGGAGAAATCCTCCACCATTTTACCATCCTTGAACTTGAGGTTGGCGTACTCCTACTTCAGAAGCTGGGCCGTCGCCTTCTTTGTGCGGTCGAAACCGGCGCGCATCGCCGCAATAGCCTCCCACGCCTCCTTAGCAAACCTCTTCACCTCCAACGGCTCCCTATACTCCGCCAGTACAGCAACGAGGATAGCCTCCAATGCTGACATGTCATCTTCCTCATTATCGGTGCCCTTGTCAACA